ATAACTTGCTTTTCTTCTCCTGTCCACCCATAAAGTGCTGGATGGTTGGAGAAATGGAACAAGGTGACATCAGTAATGCGATGGCATGGGCGATTCCTTCATGGAAGTCAGTGTTAGCGGTGTTACTATTCCCATTGGCTAGTGATTGTGTACCACTATCTGATGGGTCATATTCATGGAACTATTTTAGAATTCAACAGTGGCGGGTCTGGGGCACCCGGGTGGCTCAGTCAGTTAAGCATCCAACTCTTGGTTTTGGCTCAGGTGATCTCAGGGTCCTGAGATCGAGCCCCGTGTCAGACTCCAAGCTCAGCCGAGTCTGCTTGAGATTCTCTGCCCCTCCCCCACCTCTCTCTCCAAAATAAATAACATCTTCTTTTTAAAAAGTGGCAGGTCTGACTCTGTAGCATGCTAGATATTACTACTTCTGTCCTTCAGCACTAAAGACAAAAACTGTTAAAACCAGAAAGAAAAAAAATCACGTATCTCTTCCCCTTTCTGTTTTCTAAGTTGGTTTACAGTCTACTGTTTTTCCTAAGTCAAGGATGATAACTGCAAGGAGCAAGTGCCTTATTTTTACACGTTATGTTATGTCGTGTGCCCACTCATAGAGAGAGAGAGATGAACAACTTACAGTCCCAGCCTCAGGCAGTCCGTGCGTCTCTCTAATGGCAGATTCTCCAGAAATCCACCTCTCCTGGGGCATGCAGAAGCCTTCACAGCTTCTGAGCTGACAGCTTCGGAAGTGAAGTAGAGTGCTTCCCTTTTAAAGTTTACCAGAGCAAGGATGTCAGAGCTTAAGTCTGACAGTGCTGTCATGGGTACTCTCCCAGTGCAGCTGTAAGCGGGCTCATTATACTTTATATCCCTTTATACTAAAATCAGCTCCTCCCACATGAGCTAGTATACTTTTCTAAAACCAAAAATAAAAACAACTGGCCAGGGTGAGAAGGCGGACACTGTGTGGGTCAGAGCTACAGACAGGGAAGCAGCCGCTCCGTGCAGTGGCCTCTTCGGTCCCCAACCCCGGCAGCATGTCGTGGGACATAGTTAGTGACATTACATGGTGCAGATGCCCCAGCCTCCGCTGTCGCTCCAGGGCTCAGGTTTTACCTCAGTGCAGATACGAAAAGCTCTGGAATGGTGGGTACCCAAGGCTAGCTTATCATGTCATCTCAAGTATGGGGGGAATGGCACCAAGAAAGAGCTGAGAAACAAGACAGAGATCAATGAGATGAATTTTATTTTTTTTAAGATTTTATTTATTTACTTATTTATTGTGGGGGAGGGGTAAAGGAAGAGGGAGAGAGAATCCCAAGCAGACTCCTCACCAAGCGCAGAGCCCAGTGCAGGGCTTGATCTTACTGCCCTGAGACCATGATCGCAGCCGAAATCAAGAGTCAGGTGCTCAGCCAACTGAACCACCCAGGTGCCCCAGAAATGAATTTTCTAATAGGATGAATGAGAGGAGAGTAATTTTCTAAAGGCTTAACATGCAGAACACGGGCAGAGAAGTTTAAAACTGGGACAGACTTCAGAAATCATCTACATACCTCAGCCTTCAGTGTTACATTTGAAGAGCATCTACAGAGCTTACACAGTATTAGGAAATGCAAATTATAACGTCAAGTGAAACTTCCGGGTATAGAAATCTAACCATTTGAAGTACCAAACTTTTTTTCTTTTAAACAATTTTATTTATTTGACAGAGAGAGAGCACAGGTAGGGGAAGCGGCAGGCAGAGGGAGAGGGAGAAGCAGGCTCCCCGCTGAGCAGGGAGCCCGACGTGGGGCTCGATCCCAGGACCCTGAGCTCATGACCTGAGCCGAAGGCAGACACCCAACTGACTGAGCCCCCCAGGTGCTCCACCAAAGCTTTTTTTTAAGATTTTTTATTTGAGAGAGAGAGTGCACATGTGCACAAGCAGGAGAAGAAACAAAGGGAGAGAATATCCAACTCCCACCAAGCACCAGCCTGCCGCTGGGCTCCATCCCACCAGCCTTGAGACCAGGAACTAAGCCGAAACCAAGAATCGGAAGCTTAATCGATGGAGCCACCCAGGTGCCCTGAAATACCAAAACTTTTTAATTTTAACCATTTTTATGAAAATTTCTGTAAAATCCCATTAACTTTTTCTTGATGGCTCAGGTTTTACTTGTTTTTAATTTTTTTTTCATTGAGAAACACCAGATAGCCTGCTCTGTTCTTGATTAGCTTCTTATCCCAGGTGATTTGAGACTTTAGAATGTTATCTTGAGTTGCTATCAAGGAGAAATCCCTGCTATGTTAACTAATCTGCTATATATATTCTTTTTCATGAAGAGAGAGTGAATAATAATAATAATAATATAGGTCCACAGTCCCTTGTTTAAAACCCTTGAATCCCTCTAAGTTTCTAAGTTGAGATATTTTCACATTTTAGAAAGGTACGTAAGCACATCCAGTGTGCACTGCGAACGCCCCCAAGGATACTTGTTCAACACATTATCATTTCTGCCCCCACACATATGCTTATACCAAAGGGGATAAAGACTAGACATAAATAGCCCAGTGTCAGGTTAGGCCAGGTTTTGCTGCCAAATGAGTTTCAACATCATATAAAAAAAACCCGATTTTCAAAGGTTTTAACATTTTGAAATCGTGTATGAGAAATTATAGACCCAGCAGTAACATCTATTGAAGATTTACCGTGCGCCAGGTACTGTGCTAAGTGCTTTATGCTTTATCTCAATAAATCCTCCCAATGGGTCGATACTTCTATTACTTCTGTTTAAAAATGAGGAAAACTGATGCACAGGGGAGTTAAGTAACTTGCCCGTGGTCACACAGCTAATTCGTAGAGCTAGGATAGAACCCAGAGCTAACATGTACCAAATGCTTGTTATATGTTAGTATTATTCTAAGCATTCACTCATTTGATCTGCAAGCATTCCGTTAAGATAGTCACTCTTATTATCCCACATTTAACAGATAAGAAGCAATGGGGAGACTATAGAACATGCTCAAGGTTCAATCTGATAGATCGTGTGATTTCAGAGCATGTGTTCTCAGCCGGTACCATGTTGTATGAGTCTGTGGAAATGAAACAACCGGCTTCAAGGTTCAGCAAAATAAGTTCCCACACTGAAGGCTAGAGCGGTTCTCTCCCAGCGGATTTCCTCAAACGTCACTGTTAGACTCCTTATACCGTGATATTTTCACTGCAGATTTTATAATTTCCTTATATGGAATCATTTAGTACATGTACCTCCACATCTGCTTGCGACTGCCCCTCTATCTCATTGCCCTGCCTTACTTATTATGAGTATAAATAAGCACTTACTCTCATTTCTAAAGCATGTCCTGGCATGTTCGGGAGAAGTCACTCTCAGCACCCCCCACCCCCGCCAGGTAAACCAAATTCTGTCCCAGCTGCCCTTGACCCTGCACCTGGAATAGACTCTTAGGCACGACCAACATTAAAATCCCATCTCTAATGTTAAAAAAGAGATGTAACGGCCACTTTTCTTGTGGCTTGATTCTAGAAAGTCCTCTCATTCTCCGAACAGCTCTTTTGGGGGCCGTGTTGAGTCAGTGGGCCACGCTAGCTTCTGGAAGCTTGCAGCTGTCCCCTCCGGCGCGGCCCCCTCTCTCAGCAGAAACTCCACTGGGTCTCTAGCAGAAGAGCTTTGTTCTCCTCGGACAAGCATATATGGTGGTAAAGATGATCTTCCATGGAAGATAGCAAAATAGAGTGGAATTCACCAGGAATTACCAAAGGTTTTGTTTTGATGATTGTCCCATCTGGCAATACCTGCCTTTCCTCATTTGTCTAATTCAGAGAAGAACTGACCTGTTTTGCCAGCACTGAGTTGGCCCACTCCCAGGAAAAGACCCCAGAACGCTTCTGGAGCTGGCTGTCCGTGTCCTCCCAGAGCCAATAGGACACATGTGGTCCATTTACTCGTACAGACGATCCTGCTTCTGCTCGAAGCACAGGGCCACAGTTGGCAAAGAAGGGCACGCTCAGCTCTTTACATTCCGTGCTGAGGGGCCCTTTTGTCCTGCCGACCAGCCATATCGTGCTCTTTGGTAGTATCAGTGTGTTGACACCAATGACGGCAGAGCAGGGCAGCCTGTCATCGATGCCGCCCAGATTGCGCGCTGCGACCCGACGCCCGGGTGGCTCTGCCTTAGGACTTCTGAGCACATCACACTGGTCCGTGTGCTTCTCTGGAAGCTCCGTGAAGCCCCCTGGGGCTCCAGGGAGCTCCGTGGTGTTGTGCCCTCAGGACATCACATCTTTGTCACTGCCTTTCTTCTTTGCTCCTCATCTCACGCGCTGTGGCTTCTAAACTCCGGCGCTACAAGAAAAACAAAACAAAAACTCCACCTCTAAGGCCCAGAGGGTGGGCCTACATGAAGTGCTCCCCAACAGAACACACACTAGAGGCCTGATATGGAACGTCTCAGAGATTCTTTCAAAGGTAAAATGTGATTATGGCATTTTTATAGATTCTTTGGATAATTTTTATTTCTGGAGTAGAGCATTTAGCCCCAGCATCCAAGATATGGCAAGAGATACTTCTTTTGTTCCTTAGAGGGGGTCTAAACTTTACTCTTTGGTAATTAAAAACAAGCCACGGTCAATTTAGCTCAAAATGCAGATTATATTCAAATCCGGGCATTTATTATTCAACGAGAAAATGGAAGTGATTCCGTTCTTTCACGCTGTGGCCAATACCTATGCATACATAGCCGTAGGAAAGTTAGTGCCAAGAAGGAAGAAAGGGGTGAAGTATTCAGATAAGGCCCAGCTCGGTCATCCCTGGAATGCCAAGCCTCTTGCCTTTTCCCCCTTGTACTCAAAGTTTACACTAGGTGGCATGCAAGGAAAGCTGAACACATTCAGAAACTTGATTCTGTGGACACAGAATTCTTTGGCACGGACCCGTGACCGGTGGGTGCAGCTCTGGGGCAAGCTATTCGGTTTGAGAATGTTCTCTTTTTTCCCTCCCCAGGATGAAGTGCCCTCTCGCTGGGACAAATAAAAGATTTCTCATTAACACAATTAAGAACACGCTGCCCTCCCATAAAGAGCAAGACCCTGAGCAAAAAGAGGGCAGCAAGGAACCTGCAAAAAGCCAGAGCCAGAAAGAAGAGAACCGGAAGAAGCACAGAGGCCACCCCTACAAGCACAGCTTCCAGGCTCGGGGCCCCAGCAGCCGCTCCCCGTGCAAGAAGTGCAGCAAGCAGGAGAAGGAGAAGCGCTCCAACAGGCGATGAGGCGGGCCCCAGCCGCCGGCGCTGTTTCCTCTGGGCCAGGGGTGTGCGGACGAGCCTGTGAGGACAGGCCTTGGGCTGCAGAGCAAGCACCGAGGAGTGACTTTCAGGGTCAGTCCTTTGCTGTTGTGACAAGGAAATGAGTCCAAGGGGACTTGCCCTGAAGGTGTTCGAGCATGGTTCAGCTCCTTCAGCCGGGCGTCCTCCTGTACATGTGTCCTGTTTTCATTCTCTCGTTTGGAAGTTGGTTTCAAAATAAACCTAAGACTTCCGAGTTTTCAGAGATTGTTATGACTAGTTCCGATTTTTTTTTTTTTTGGATGTGTTACAATTGTGGTCGTCTCTCCAATTTCTCCAAAAAATAAAACCCTTGTAAATGCTATACGTTATCTTTTTGGATGATGAATTTAAAATTCAGAAGTCATCCCACCGGTAACCACAGTCAGGAAAAGAGGTAGCCCTTCAAGGGCTAGAAATTTACCATGAAACTCTTTGTTTTGTTTTCCTGTAAGTGAGCAATGTAGGAAATTCTCAAAATGGTTTTGAATTTAGTGTTTCATATCAGTAACCAGAGGTTAAAAAATTGGCCCTGTGGTTTCCTTGTGCATTCTCAAACTCACTCCTAAGATAGAACAACTTTTCTATATTTAATTTTTTGGGGAATATGTAAGTTTTAAGTGGTGCTTTAAAAAGAACCCTTAAAGTTAAAATTAACGTAAGTATTTTAGTGCTATGTCTTATTTAGCTACAGACTATAATACCACTCAGTATAGTTGTTTCAGAAATCTTAATTTTAAATAAAAGTGTGTTTACAACACCTTTTTCTGGTTTTTTTTTTCCAATATGGATGTGTGTCTGTTTTAATGTACAATTACAAACCTTTCAAACCTGTATTCTTCCTTTCATACTCAGGAAAATGTCACCAAGTACCCTCTTCCCTGGTCCACAAAAGGAAGAAGAATCTGTCTCTCTGTCCCCACCCCTCCCAGTTTTCCAAAGCGTCTAAGCTTATGCCTGGCTGCTCCCAGATAATCACTCACCACAGCCTGCTCCCTGCTTCCTGGCAGCCAAGAAAAGCCCTTTCTAAATGTTAGAAAGGAGCACATCCGAAAAGTTAGCTTCGGGGTGTTTATAAACTAGAATAGACGAAGTACTGGCTTTGCCCATCAAGCCGCTGGCCACACCCTCAGTCTGCTCTGAGCTAAAAGCTCAGGAGTGACAAACCCCAGGCTTTCTCGCTTGACCCCCCCCCCCCCCCCCCCCCCCGGCAAAGACCCCAGGGCCTCATCTCATCCTGTGACTTTATAACAACACAGCAACACACTTTGCTTTCAAACATACAAAAGGAATAATTTGGTTCATAGGACTTTATCCAAATCCATTTATGCATTAGCTTACCCTGTTTGTGCTAAATTTGGAACGTTTTGTATTTAAATACTAGAAAGAGCATAGAGTCATGAGTTTTTGAAAATTCTTGTTATAATTAAGTGAAATAAAGTTGGATTGTATCAATTGTCTGTTCTCCGTGTTTAGAGCAAACTGCCAAGTTCATTATTCTTTAAAAGAAAATGATTATGATGAGCACATTCTAATTCTTAACAGAAGCCCCAGTAGCCTACTTGTACTGAACCTTATTTGTGTTCAAGGACGAGTGTTCTGCAGGATCACTTTCCCTTTAAAAGGAATTGTTCTGCTTCTGAAAACTATCAAAATCTTTAAAACTTTGATCAAGAGCAGCCATGGTTTCTTGTACCTAAACGTCAAGAGCAAATTATCCGTTCTTTTTCCCCATCTTGGCAGTGGATGTTGGCGAAGGTCTTGGTCCTGAGATCTCACCCGTACCAGCCACGTCCTGTGTCTGCACCTACCGTGCAGGCCCCGCCGAGAGCTTCCTCGGCCTCAGTACTGTCTGCCCTCCTGTATGAGGGTCTGTGGAGTTCACACAGCCCAGCACAGGTCGAGAAGGTGAATGCAGCCGGCTTCTGCTGTTGGCTGGCTGTGGGGCCCTAGCTGGTGGCTTCTCTGGACTGCATCTTCCCCTCCTGGGAACCAAGCTGTTTGGACTGAGTCCCTAATTTAGCAGTAAGTAGAGAGGGGAGTACCAAGTGCTTAGCCCTCAGTTTTAGGAACTGCTTTTCATGCTTCCTTTAGAAAGCTACAAGACTTGAGCACAAGTGGGACTTAGCAGAATTCACTTTCTGCTTTACCGCGTTTCAGAAAGCATGGTCTCTGAGAAATGTAAACCAAAAGCAATGGTCTCCGCTGTGGCTGGTGACCTGTTAGTGTTAGTCCTTCCGAATGGCCCACCTGTCAAGGAGAGGGAGCCAGAACGGGTGGTTTTACTTAGAGCAGGCTGAGTACTGAAGAACACTTCCTCAGGTCTGATTCTGGAAGGTGGCTATGGAATTTTGAATTTGCCTGTGCTTTTTTTTTTCCCCCCCAGGTGGGGTGAGGTGGTACAGATCTGCCTCAAATCTACTGATAGAATTTGTCATTCCTTCATGGATTATCCATGTGACTTAGCATGGCACTTATATTTTTATATTTATATAATTCCTCTCACTCTAAGAGGACATGCCATTGTCTTTGGATCATAAAGAGTATCTGGTCCATAATCAGAGCTTATTTAATAAACATGACCTGAGGTGAATTCCTGATGAAGCGAAGCCTCACACTCCCTTAAGGAGTGCTAAACTTGTAAGTATTCTCACCAGGAGGCATAGGTCGGCTATACTGAAACTGTGGACAGTAATGCTTATTGTGTATCACCTGTGGGCCAAACATGGTAGGCCTTTTTTCCCCAGTTTTACTGAGATATAGTTAACATATAACTCTGCATCTGTTTAAGATATAAGATGTGGTGATTTGATGTAAGTATATATTGGGAAATGATTACAATTAGGTTAATCAACACATTACCACACAGTTAACTTTTTTTGTGAGTAGTGAGAACATTGAAGATAGGCCTTTACCTGTGTCCATACAGTCACCTCAACCCTATGAAGAAGGTGCCATTATGCCCATTTTATAAATGAGGAGACAGGACGGTTTGCCCAAGGTCTCAGAGCTGGGAGGTGGCAGGAATGCTCTCTGAAGCCACCACTGTCTGAATCTACAAAGCTATATTCTTTCCAGAACTTTCTTCCAACCCGATTCCGAACTCAGCTCCCTCAAAACACAGGACTGGGATGTCTTGGTGTAGAATGGGCCAAGGATTCCCTACTTAAGAGCATAAAGAACTTACGTAACTAATGCATTTTATTTTATTTTATAAGATTTTATTCATTTATTTGACAGAGAGAGACACAGCGAGAAAGGGAACACAAGCAGGGGGAGTGGGAGAGGGAGAAGCAGGCTCCCTGCTGAGCAGGGAGCAGGTGTTCATGTCCACCAAATTTAAAGGTAGAGCTGAGCAGGGAGCCTGATGTGGGGTGGATCCCAGGACCCTGGGATCCTGACCTGAGCTGAAGGCAGACGCTTAACAACTGAGCCACGCAGGCGCCCCTAGCTAATGCATTTTATTGGTTACAATGTACTCCTGGTGACCAGACTGTGCAAGGCCCACCCAAGGAATGCCAGCTGGACCAGGGTTTCCATGCAGGCCAGCTTCGACAGCCATCGAAATCCAAGAGGAAAACTCTTATAATTCTCTGGTTAAATAGTTAAGTGGCAGCTGATGGAATACCTGAGGGAAATTAAACCCCACATGAAGGAAAGATTTTAAGCTATTTCATATTTAGCCTCTCCTTTTTTTCATCCACAAGAATAGCAAGATTTTGGAGTTAAGAAATCTTGGCGTCAAGGCCTCTTTGGTACCTTAAATAAGAACATCCTATGACCCATGGAGAGTGTGCTGCGCCCACCTCAACCACCTTGGAAAGGCGTGTCAAAAGGTATTGGAATAAGGCCTGCCCTCGTCTGAGGCTCAATAATGAGAAGGCTAGTTTGCCCATATTCTCAGGTTTTTTGGGAAAAGACTGCTAAGAAGCATGCACTCACACCCACGCGGATGCAAAAAAGGAAGCAAATTAGTTATCTACATTAAACTGCCAACACAACATAGTAAGTAGAATTCAGAGGAATTTTATAAACAAATAATTTTGGTCTGGGTTACCATGCTATAAATCTCAGCAGAAGGCCCTGGGCATTATCATGAAAAGGCCAATAATAAACAGATTTGGGAGCATCATTAATAGTTGAGCTATTCTCCCTCTTATCTAGCCCTATAACTTTCGCTTTTGCTTTTCATGACTTATGGAAATTCCCTTTGTGCAACATGAACTCCAAATATAACATCCTTATGAAATACCTGATGGGACATTTTGCTCCACCAGGTAGATGTATAGCACATCTTCAGTGGTTGTCCAGCATCCTTCCTAAGTGTTTTATTTCTCATTACTTCCTCAGGTGTAGTTCCTTCAGGATGAACTAGTATATACTGCCCAGTTACAAGCCTATATTTACTCCAAGTTACAGCCCTGTCAGTCTGATGGGTAGTCTTTCAAAGCTAAGGGCTGATTTACTAACAAAAAACTGCAAGGCTGATTTTTGATCCTATAGCCTACATGAAGAACGAGCCATTCACTCACTCACTCACTCATTCTGTAAGAGAAGCAAATGTGACAAGCACATGCTGGGCCCAGATTAGAACAGTCGAACTCCTGGCCTCAAAATCTTCTAAGCCATGTTCATGTCCACCAAATTTAAAGGTAGAGAGTATTTGTGCAGCACGATACCTGCTTCTCAAAATTTTTTTTGCCCGCCTGCTGGTATTCCAGTTTTCTATATTTGGGAAGCAATTGGTCGTTGGTCATCAGCACAAAAACAAAACAGATGCATTCATTTTCAGTTTTTTTAAGTCAAAATTTTCATTTTGATGAGTCCTAAAAATATGCATTAGTCTAGTGAATATATTTAGTGAATCTCAAAAATATGTGTGTGAATCTCAAAAATAAACACAGAAGGCAACATATAATACATAACTAGATCATGTAAAAATATTAGAAACACACTAAGAATATGACAAAAATTATGAATAGAGTATATGTTCCCAGAAAATACAAACATCCAAAAAGCATATGAAAAGTGTCTAATTCACCAGTAAAGAAAAAAAATGCAAATTAAAATGATTTTTTCTTTTTTTCAAAATAGCTGGGTTTGGGGTTTTTTTTTTAAGTACTTCTGCTGGGGCACCTGGGTGGCTCAGTCGGTTAAGTCTCTGCCTTTGGCTCAGGTTATGATCCCAGGGTCCTGGGATGGAGCCCCACACCTGCAGAGCAGTGAGCCTGTTTCTCCCTCTCCCTCTGCCTGCCACTCCCCCTGCTTGTGCTCTCTCTCTGTCTCTCTCTGACAAATGAATAAATAAAATCTTAAAAAAAGAATTTAAAAACAAATTCAGTGGAGAAAGAGTCCTTCCAACAAATAGGTCAGATCTGAAACATTAGATACCAATACATTAAAAAAAAATCTAAAATTAAAAATATTGACCATATCAAATGTTAGTGAGGATGTGGAGCAATTGCAGCTCCCACACACTGATCATGGGATTGTGAAATTGTACAACCACTCTGTAAAACAGTTTGACATGTTCTTAAAAAGTTAAACATACACTTACCATATCATCCAATCATTCTACTCCTAGGTATTTTACCCAAGAGAAATGAAGTCATATGTCCATACCAAGACTTATTCACGAATGTTCCTAGCATCTCTGCATTAGTCAAAGACTAGAAACAACTCAAATGTGGATCAAAAGGTAAACAAATAATCAAATTACGATATGGAATATCATACACAATACACAATGGAATACTACT